TTACCTCCCCCTGAGCAATCCCCTTGACTCCCTCCTTGTCTCATCCTGCTCACCCACCAGGACCAGGAAGACCCCAAAACCAACTCCAAAACAGCCAAGGACATCACCAGGACTCCCATGAGAGCACAGGGATGCCAAGATGTGGGTGTCCCATATGCCAAGCACCCAGTGCTTGCCCTTGCCCTGGTGACAGTGACAATGCTTCAGACCACATTGCCACCTGCTGGCACCAGCCCTGGGGCCCAAGGGCACCAGCACCTTCCCCGAGGGAGGCAGCAACTCTGTGCCAGGCACCGGGTCCAGGTTCAGGTCCAGGTCTGCGTCCAACTGGCTGCTGCCACATTTGATCAGAGCAGCCACCGCTCACTTTCCTGAACTAATTTTATCCAATTATCTAATTTAACTTCATGGCAGCCTGGATGGTGCATGTGCAAAACCTTCCCGGGGGTGCCAAGAGGGGCTGCAGGTGCCTCTACCGTGCTCAAAGCCCTCCGTACTTGCCAGGGCACCATGTGAAAGGCCCCGGTGCTGTTCCAGGGATGCAGGAGATTTCACAGCAGCATTGACAGCCACTCCGGATTTCTAATTCCAGCTCCTGTTGGCATTTCCAGGCAGAGGTAAAGCAGAGACAGTACCATCAGATGTTTTGCCCCCCAGACTCCTCCAAGCCTTCCTGACTCCCCACTAACCCCTCCTGCCCTCTGCTGCTTCTCCCCAGAGGCCACGGATCCGATTCTCACTCATCTGTCAGGCCAAGCTCTCCCTTCTGTCGCATGGGGGGACAGATCCTCTGTCACTGCTCTGCAGCCGCTTTACATCAGTGTAAACCCCACGCAAGGCACGGGGGGGATGCAAATCCCACCTGCACAAACACACAGGTAAAACAGCAACTCATCACTGATGCTCCACAACCGGACCAACACAACTGCCCATGGATGGCACAAGTGGAGCTGGAGGAAAATCAACGCTGAGTTTGGTTCTTCAACACACACATAGAGAGCCTCCACTGCCCCCGGAGGGAGGCAGGTCCAAGGGGGTCCTGGCAGGAGCAAGGACCAGGCAGAAGATGCTGGAAGGAACCCCATCCATGACCCCGTCCCGGTGCGCCAGGCACGCATCGGCACCAGCCTGGCCACCACCGTGGCCTCCCGTCAGGCAGGGCTCGCGTGTTTGCAGCGCTGACGTGGATCCATGTGAACGGCTCATGGAAGGCAACAGGAGTTGCTGTGTGTGTGCCCAGCACGGGTGAAGTACACGGGGTCACGGCAAACGGGTACCAGCTCCCCTCACCGCCTCTTCGGGAAATACCCCCCGTGGGCAGGTACCCAAGGACCCCAAGGGAGTTCACCCAGGTGGATGGAGCACTTGTCCCCTCCCAGAACATGGGAAACCGACCGCTCTGGGTGTCCCTGCACCTGCCGGCATCGAGACCAGCTCAGCCCCAGCCCCGGCTCTGGCTCAGTGAGGCAGGTCCAAACTCCAGGGCCACTGGATGAGGTGTGGCGCTGGAGCCGGGCAGGAGGGAGGATGGGAGACAACCGTCATCGTTAAGAGCAAAGCCCTGACCCCTCATGGCCCTGCTCTGCTGTCACCTGAGTCAGCAGCCACCAGCCCCGGGACATTCTTCATCGCCACAGAAACCCCGGGCAGCTCGGGCTGCCACCGGCCACCGGGCCCGGCCTCTCCCCATGGAAACCAAACAAACACCATCACCACGTCCAAAACCTCCAGCCCATCCATCTCCCTGCTCTGACAGATGGTGGCAGGTCCTAAGTCACCTCTCGGCTGCGATTGGGTGATGTGCTGGGGTGGCACAGAGCTTTCCCAGGGCGGACTAACCCTGTGCCAACACCATTGCAAAGGCAGAGGGAGGAGGTGGGCACGCACAAGGAAGGGGGATAAGGCAAATCTCCCCCTGCCCCTCACTGCTGTCCCCCACCCTGGGAATGGGGACAGATCCCAACCCAGCTCTGTGGCCCTTGTTGGAAGCCGAGAGCTTTTTTTAAACCTGCTTGTAAGGCGACTCGCAAACAAGAAAGAAAAGGGAGCTCCTTGTGCGGAGGGGATGTGGCTCCGTGGTCAAACGCCGGCGCCTGGGAGACTCACACTTAATTCTGGGTTGTGCTACAGCCCTTCTGGTGTGCCCTGAGCAGACTCGGCCGCAGTCAGGGTTGCTGCCACCTTCCAGGCCGCAGTACCCTTCAACAACACCTCCTGGCCTCGCTCCAGCACCCAGCCCACCAGTGCCAGCCATGGACCTCAGCACCCACCAGATACAACCCCTGAGAGGGGCTGGAAAACCACCTGGCACAGGTGTGACCTGAGCCAGAGCCGGGGCTGCTCAGCCCTGGGAAGCATAAAGAGGGTTCATTCCCGAGCCGATGTGCACACCCTGACCCCTCGTGCAAACTCTTTGAGTCCAGCAGCTGAGCACGGCTCCTCACCAGCTGCAAAGCGGGGGTTGCATCCAGAAAAGTGGGAGTCACATCCTGATGGAGTGAGACTCTGCCACCCAGCCGCCTCCAAAAACCCAGCAGGGGAAAACTCCAAGCCAGAGACTAAAAATCATCCTTGGGGTTACCCAAATCTCCTGGTTCAAGCCCCAGACCCCCTCGTATCCTCAGTGAATCTCTGTGGAGTGGGCACCTACTCCTCAAACTTCAGATCCACTATTTTTTTATTAAAAAAGAAAGAAAAGAAAAAAAAAAGATTAAAATATTTCTCCCCAGTGAGGTGCAGAGAAACACTTGCACATTCGGTGCCACCGTCAGCAACTCCTACACTGCCCCCCACGTACGCCACTGCGAGGGGGGAGCAGAAGAGGGTGTATAGGCACCTACAGTGACAAAAGAAGATTTCTGTGTAATTTGGTTAATCAGTCAACTGAACAGCACGAATCCATAGCAAACTGCCCTGTGCTCCCCAAACGACTCAGTCGCCTGTGGGGCAACGAAGCATCCGTGGTTGGTACAAGCATCACCTGCCTCTAATGGATCTACACCAATGACCCTTGCAAAAATCCCAAATCCCAAATGCAATCCCCAGTTTGAACACGCTGACACCAGCAAATGCAAAAAAAAAAAAAAAAAGAGTTTATCAAGTCTTGCAATCCCCAGAAAAACTCTTGGTGCTGCCAAAGGGGACCCTGCAGTGGCCTCACAGACCTCAGCATCCTCAGTGCTTCTTCCCCTCAGAACCCCTCAGTCCTGTCAGCTAAAGCAAAAATCAGAGTGCTTGGATGTGAAAGGGATGTAAAAGCTCCTCGCTGGCCCAGGAGCCAATTACAACAAACGGAAAGTGTTTTGCTTTTTAATCTCGTGATTTTTTAGCTAATCTCTCCTTTGGAAAGGGACGATCAGCTCAGCAGTGAGATGCTGCTGGGGAGATACAGCACGTGCAGAGTCCCAGCTGGGATGGCAACTTGAGCTCTCGCTCTCCATTCCTGTCCTTTTTGGGTGGATTTATCCTGGCTTTTTCTCAGAATGACAGTAGAGAGGCAGAGAAACAATAGCAGAGCTTTGGGAAACTTCTGAACAGGGGATTTTGCTGTGTTTTTGTCTACATTTCCTGAAAAGGGGAGTTTTCTCTTTTCAAAATATTCTTTTCACTTTGAGTTTTTCACTGGTTTGCACAGGAGGGTTCATAGGCAGGAAAACCCTCCCCAGCCCCTGCAGACCTCTCTGCTCCCATGGGTTTTGCCCCTTCTTGGGAAAAAAGCTAAGTCCTATTCGTCATCTGCCCAGAGGTCGTGGAATCGCAGAATTATAGAATCATTTCAGTTGGAAGAGACCTTTAAGGTCATCAAGATGATGCTTTTCCTGCTGCAAAGGGAGTCCTGCTCCCAGGAAATTCATAAAAATGGGAAGTTTTAAAAGTGGAAAGAACCACAAACACCCAAGAATGGGTTTGTTTCCTTCTCCAGCCCAGGGCAAGACCTTGACAGGATCCAGCAGAAGGGGAAAACCAGACCCAGCAGTCCAGAAGAAGACAGAGGTCTCCTCACCCCCCGCCACCGGGGCAGTGTCCAGCAGCACACCAGAGTCAGGAGCTGGCTGGAACCTCTTCGCCAACCCAGACGGACTCATCCATTCCCCCAAACACGTGGAGAACCAGAGCAGGGAGGAGGCCATCAGATGCCATCCCCAGAGCCCATAAGTTACAGCAGGGAACAGAGTTGCATTTGCCCTATTTCTTATCTGCTTGGAAATTGCACCGCTTTCCCAGCTGCAAAGGCAGCTCTGTTCCCAAGAATTTCAGCAAAGCCATGACCTCTTTCCAGGATCGTACAGTATATGGTGGCGGGGAGCCAGGGCTAATTATAGGCACAGGAAAAGGGGAGAGAGGGTTTGGAAAAGCTCTACCTTCCCAGCAGCAGGGAGTGGGGCGTCACAGCCCCAGCCAAGCCCACGGCAGGAGCACCCCAAAGGGCTGCGAAACCCAGGGAAGGAGAAAGAAGGCCAGGGATAGGTGCTCCTGGGCATCACTATCCCTCTTTTCTGGGAGGATAAAAGCCAACATAAATCTCAGCTCACAACACTCCCCAATTCCTACGTGCTCTGGTGTAGAAGAGAAGCCCCTCACGGGGAGTGGGACCAACGCTGCCCCGGCACAGGACAAGTGCCAGCACAGCACTGCCCCGGTTGCCAGAATAAACATGGCAAGAAGCAGTGTTGCTCAATGCTATGTCGGGAATCTGAGTTTGGGTTCCCTATGGAGACCCCATCTCCTATAGCTGAGCGATGCCACAAGCCCCTACCATGCCCTCATGCCCTGGCACTGCCCAAAAGCTCAACCTGCAGAGATGCTCCCCAACCTGGAGGCAAATAAATGTGCATCAATTTAAATGCCAGCCAAGGCTCTCAGGCAAAGCCACACACAGGCTTAGAGCCAAGTTCATTGTCGCTTGCTGGGCAATGTCACAGGAGCCACCTCCCTCCCCCGACTCGCCACAGGAGTGGACAAGGACACGGAGACACACATGCCCACGAGACCTTCCAGCACGGAGGAGGCTGGGCAGGAAAGCACAAAACAGGCAGCAACTCATTTAGCCACCAGTCTCCTCTTCAGAGCCACGTTGCTGCACAAAACAAAACCCAGGTAAGGTAAAAATCCCACCTATTATTTTCTTGAGGGAGGAAAAAGAAAAGCCAGGAACTCTCTCGCTTGCCGCAATGGTTTTCATTTTCCACCAAATCAAATCGAGTCTCGACTCCGGCTGCTGGCAGATCCCCTCCCTGCCTGCTCACTGCCGTGTGTGCCTGCGCATGTGGGAATGTGTGGGTGTGCGGGTTTTGTTTTGCTTTCTGCACAGGCTCTGCAGACCATCTCCTGCTCTCGCCGATCGCAGCCTGCGAGGCTCGGCCCTGCTCTATTATCCGGCAGGATGGACTTCCCATTTCTCCAGCTTTAGCCTCATGCGAGGCTGCTCTCCTCCTTCAAAAACTTCCAGAAACACGGCTTGCAGGTATCCCAGCCCCTGGGTGCTGCAGAGCTGTTGCCATTGCCAGTCGCCCCAAGAAGGTCCCTGTGTCTAGGGGGGTGTCAGGGCTGGGTGCTGTGGAGGGGGAGCATGGCTGTGCCAGGCTGGGACGGGGGAGCCGGCGGGATGGAGCAGGGAACCAGCTCAGCCTCCCAGCGGGAAAGCAGCCGCTCACTAAGGGAAGGAATCTGCCTGTGCACACTGGGGCCAAACGATGCCCTTTTATAAGGCTCCAGTGGCAGTGGGAAGGGAGTTCAGCATGTGCTGAGCTCACCTGGCTCCTGGCGAGCCCCTCGGGATCACCTCCCACCAGTTCCCCACATAACCCCAGCTGAAACCTCACCCTTGGCACCTGGCCCCGCCGCAGTGGGGGCTCCCAGAAACTCTCCCGAGGCCAACCAAGCCTTGGTGCAACCAAACCCAGCACTTTTTAATGTGACACCCCCATCCCCAGCTCCGACACCCCAGATGGGCATGTCCAGGGATGGAGGGGAAGATGAACAGAAATGGCATCCCCACAGTCCACAGCAAAGACCCTGGGACTGCCGGCGCCTGATGCCTGCCCAGCACCCACTCCTCTGCAGCAGTGGGACAGAGGGACAGGACCCATCCCCACGGGCAGAGCCCACTTCGCCCAGCTCTGCCAGCACATCCCAGCAGAGCACGTGGCCATGGCAGGGCTGACACAGTCCCTTCCCACTCGGCTCCGCAGGCGCCACCGCACACGGCTCAGCCCTAACGGGATAACAAGCTCACAATGAGATCCTAATGAAGGATTAGCGAAATACAGTTTAAAGAGATTAAAGCTGGGTGCAGCACTGAAACTTTCTTATTTATTTAATTTTTTTTTTCCTGAGAGCCCCGCAGAGGTGAGACCCAGATTACAGCCAACACGGACAGAGCTGGTATTCACTGCCAGCTCCAGCAACTTGGGATGGTTTTTCCATTGCATTCATGCAAAGGGGGGCTGGGGTTGCAAAAAGTATGGAGGAACACACAAAAAATGGCTAAAATGGCTCGTGGCGCCTGCAAGCCCTGCCCGAGGCACTTCACAGCGAGCCAGAGGCTTTCTTCATCTCTCCCTTCCCACACCAGTCCCTTCCCATCTGCATCCCAGCTGCGCGATGCTCTCGGTCCTGTTCATAATGACTGTTGATGTTATCCGCTGGAGCCAGAGCCTTCCAAGGAGCCCCAGGGAAGCAGGTACTCAGCTCTCATTCAGGGAAAGTTATTAATAGTAATTTCTTGGCTCTACACAAACAGAGCAAGAAGTCAGCCCTGGCCTCGGAGAGCTTGGCGTGACTGCCAGCCCCACGCGCTCCGAAAGGTCAGGAGTCTGGTTCGCCCCCAAATCAAAGGAGAATGTTTAAAATAGAAAGCAACACATCTGGGGTTGCTTTTTGGGTTGTTTTGGCCACTCGTATTGTCTTCTGCAACCACCAACACCACAAATTTTCTCCTCCCAAGAAAGGGCAATGTGACTGTCACCCTATCACAGGAATCCAGGAGTGGGAATTCACTAAACCAAAAGTGGTAACGCCCCGGCAGAGAAAGGAATGGGAGAGCAAGGCTGGCACTTGGCAATGGGCTTATCTCATGGGCAGTGGGGCAACTGCTCAAAGCCCACCCCTCATTTCAGCCAAGTCCTCAAAAGCCACACGACGAGAGGGAGGTGGGGAGCTGAGAAACATCCCTGTTGAGAAACTACAAAACAAATCAAATGAAGATGTTTGGAGCAGATCCAGATGTTTATTAGTGACGCACATGGAGGTATAAATAATTATCCGGTAGGAATTTTGTTCACAGGCAGCTCTCCCTTATCTAATCAGATCTCAGTGCGACATGGCCCTGGCCTCCCCCTGCTTAAAAAGTCTTGAGAAAACCAAATGCAACATTAGAAAAACCCTCACTAGGGGCACCAGTTTAATCCCATTAATCACTGGACACTGGGAGCAGAGCTGCCAGCACTCAGATCTCATACAGGCACAGCTCAAGGGAGGATTTTTTCCCCCAGTGGAGCACTGGAGGGGGGGCAGATCCTGCGCGAAGGTGCAGAGCGGAGCCAGGAGCTGAACCCTCGCACCCTGCCCTGTGCCCGGCACAAGGCACAGGTAAAGTGGCCCATGTGGGAACAGAAGGCACCACTGCATCAGCTGAGCTCCTCCACACCAGCACAAGGAGCTCGCCAGGCTCTCGTCTGTAAGAAACCAACTGCTTAAAATACACTGGCCAACAAACCCCTCTCTTGTCCGGCTGCGTGGTACTGACCAGCCACTCCAGCACTCGGACACTGCAATTACCTAAAAATAAACGGACCACAAACCTCAAGAGGCCGAATGGCTGAGGGGGATGAGGATGACGGGGAAGGTGCCCCAGCAGCACGGGGGTACCGGCAGCTGCCAGTGGCTGTTGTGACACCACCAGGAAGCCCAAGCCGAAGGGTTCACATGCGACCAAAAAATAGGTAGAAAAAAGGCTTTAACATCTCAGAAAACCCACCTGAGCTGATTTTTCCTGGCCCTTAGCATCACCTAACCCGTGGGAGGTGCCAGCCCACGGAGACAAACTCCAACCCTCCGCGCCAGCAGCCCTCGCCCCGCCAACCCCCCCCGCCAGCATCTCCAGTGGTTTTCCAAAAATTCAACCAACCCAACCCACCGTAGGCGAGGCTGCAGAGGGTTTCACAGAGGCCAGAGAGGAGCAGTGTTGGAAACTTACTGTAGGAAATTGGCCGCTCGGCTCCAGCTCCTTGTCCCTACTGGTGGGAAAGTCTATAAATCTCTAATAAAGAAAAAAAAATCCCCTCCCATTTTATTCCTTCTCTCTCCCCCCAGCTCCACTCCAAAGGATTGTGAAACAGAGAGGGCAGCCGGGGCTTGGATCTGCAGCATTTCTGAGTTCCTACAGAGTCTGGGCTCTCTGCCACCAGCAACAGCGGCTCTGGGGGTGTGGAAAAAGGGAGGAAAAAAAATAAAAAGAAGAAGAGGAGAAAAAAAATTGTATAAAAAAAAAAGTCCTGTTTATTTTGGGGGATGAGAGAGAAAACTTGCACTGCACAAAGCGGGGTGGAGGGGGAGCAAGGCTCTGGCACTCCTGCAGGCACCGCACACTTGGGAATCAAAAAGACTTTTGGTTAAAATGCCTGGATTTTGGGTGGGAATACTGAGCTTGCAGAGGATGCTCTTTCCCAGGGTGTACACGGGTGATGAGTGATCTCATACAGAGGGAGGGAAGCACCTCCTGGGGCAGCTGGACCCCCCGGGGGCACCCATGGGTGCCAGCGGCAGCTCTGCCCTGCCCTGACGCGGCCCCGGGCGCTGTGAGGGGAATTACTGAAGACAGGCTGGAAGAAAAGTCTGCTCCAGCCGTGACCCAGATTCCCCTCCAGCCTGATCCCTCACTGAAGTCATAATCCTTGGAGGGCTTCTGGTCCTTTTTTTTTTTTTTTAAATACATCCCTGCTCGTTGCCATGGTGACGAGGGGGATGCTATAATTTCAGCATTATAGACTTCAGCACGAGAACAGGAGGGAGAAGGTGGTGGAAATATGGACGAGCTGCACTGGTAACGCATTTAGGGAAAAAGAATTAAAAAAAAAAAGAAAGAACCAAGGCAGCACCTTGGCTTCAGCAGCAGAGGCTGGAGGAGCAGGGTTGTGTTGCAGCTGGAGGGATTCAGGGAATCATGGAATGGTTTGGGTTGGAAGGTACCATAAAGCCTGTCTCACTCCACCCCCCTGCCATGGACAGATACACCTTCCACTAGACCAGGGTGCTCCAAGCTCTGTCCAACACTTGAACACTTCCAGGGATGGGGCAGCCACAGCTTCCCTGAGCAACCTGGACCAGGACCTCACCACCCTCACAGCCAAGAATTACATCCCAATATCCCATCTAACCCTGCCTTCTGGCAGTGGGAAGCCGTTCCCCCTTGTCCTGTCACTCTAGACCCTTGTCCAAAGTCCCTCTCCAGCTCTCTTGGAGCCCCTTTAGGCACTGGAAAGGGTTCCAAGGTCTCCCTGGAGCCTTCTCTTCCCTGGAATGTGGATTTGCTCCTGTCCCCGGGCCAGAGTACCCACTTTGGGGCACTGTTTGGGCAGCAGCTTCCCTGGCATGGATGCTACAGACCCTGCAGGGCTTTGGGAGATGCAGCAAACCTTGCGGAACTCGAGGCAAACCCGCGGAGGAACACCCTATTTTGGGGTGGCTTTAGCCTTGCCCACCATGGCTCAGCACCTGGATGGGGCAAAACCAACCTACTTTGCAAAGAAGCAGCTCCAAAAGAGCTGCCCTCCCCTTTTTACCTTTATTCCCCACCATCTTTCCTTTCTGCCCTGCTCTGCCCATGGCAGGTCCCAGTGGCATCCCATCAGCAGCAGGATGTGGGAGATCCTGAGTTCCTGTCCAGCTCCCAATTAGAAAAAAAACCACCACTGCCCTGTGTTTTTGCAAGGTCATGAGACACCTCTGGGTGCTCTTAGTGTCACACTATCATGGTTCAGCCCCAAAGAGCCCCTGGGCTGATGTCAATGAGTTTTCAGGCTCGTAGGTGACCCGTGACCCCATTGGAGGTTTGGACTGTTAACCCGAGGGCTTCAGCCCCCCCAAATCCCAGCAGCCTCAAGCTCTCCTACGGCACAGAAACAGTAAAATTGCATGAGCAGAAGCTAAACCAGTTTTAGCCACGTTTCCATCCTTCTCGCCCCCCTTCTCACCCCATCGTCAGGCACTGAACCGGCACCCGCCGTGACGAAAAATTTCCGAAAGACACACAAATAAAAATAAGATTGCACACAAACACCTCTGCCCAAACCCAGCCTAACGGCCTGTGACCCCCCATCACGAGGGAGACGGGCTGCTAGGGGCTCACAGGGTCCCAGAGGAAGCCAGAGAGCCCCAGGGAACGCCAGGCCCACACCACGCTCGCCCACGCGCGAGCAGGGAGGTGAGAAAAAGGCTCCGGTCCGGTGCGCGGCACCCGGCACAGCGTCCGGCACTGATCCGGCCGTGCAGCCTGCACCCCTCAGCCTCGCTCTGAGGGGCAGGAGAAGGACCCCAACAGCAAAACCCAGGTGGTCAGCACCAGGGGGAATGGAGACATCACCATCGGTCCTGCACTGGAGCCACAGTGCCTGGGAACAGCTCAGTGGGGGTCCTCAGAGGGCGATGTGATGCTGGGGCAAAAGGGTCTCCTGAGTTCTAAATGCTTAAAAAAAACCCACAGCACATCATTGCAAAAGTAGGAAATCCAGGCATGGGGCAGTGAGTGCCAAGGACCCCCCACCAGGGCTTGCAATGTTCCTCGCTGCAAAAAATTCTTGTATAACTCCAGGCGGAAAAACAGAGAGAGCGTTTTGTTTCCATGCCCAAAGCAAAGCCAAACACCCAAACCACCACCTTCAGCATCCGACCTGTCAGCCCTTGGGCCATCAGGGCGCTTTCAGCAGTGCCCCAAGCTCCAGATTTAGCCTCAAAGGTATTTATCTCCGTGAAGCTAAAACCAAAGATGCATTTGCATAACAAAAAGACCCCGATGCTTGGTGGGGACAGGGCATGCAAAGCAGCCTCCCTCACCAAGCAAAGGCACTCAAGGTCACCCCGGCTGATGCTGAGCTTGCTGTGGCCGGTTCTCTTCCCTGGAAAGGACAAGGCAAGAACATCTTCCCTTATGGGAAGCATCTTCCCGACCTTCCCACTTCCACTTTGTCCAGGTGGAGCAACCCTCTCTGGTGCAAAGCCAGGTGTGAAGTCTTCCTCACTAACACACACACGTCTGGCTCTAAAGCTCAAAGACCTGAGGGCAACTAACAGGTTTTTTCCAAACT